TTTCAGCTCAGGTCATAATCCCAGGGTCGTGAGATCGAGCCCCACGCCAGGCTCCACACTGTTAGTGCTTGGGATTCTGTCTCTCTCCCTCTCTCTCTGCCCCTCTGCTGCTCACGATCTCACTCTCTCTCTCTCAAAATAAATAAATAAACATTAAAAAAGAAAAAGAAGCCAAGCTGGAACCCCAAGCCATGGCAGGTTAGGTGTGGAATGAGTGGCAAATGGATGAGCGACAAAGTGTATGGTTCAGAGTCACTAATATCCCATCCCATGGACGGCAGGGGTACTCACCTGAGTCAGCTGGGGCTGGCCTCCAGAGTCAGCCATCTGTGCAGGAGATAGAGACAACCATCCAGAAGACATAAATAAACGGAGCCATGCCAAGAGATAGAAAAGGTTCTCTTTTCCTTAGCCTCCCCACTCCAGGCCCTCAGGGTTTGCTTTCTTTATCCGCCCCACTTGCTCCCATGCAGGACCTGAAAGGCCTAGAAGCTAAATCTAGAGAGGATCTATGGCTCTGGACAGGGGGCCAGGAGTCAGGCGGGGTATGGAGTAGGGTTACTGACCTTGAGAAAAGAGGTCTGGGTGGGGTCCAGCTTTGAGTTACATTCCACCTGGAGTAAGCAGGAGGCTGAATGAATGAGGTCATACTCCCTGTGGCCCCTCCCTTCGAAGGGACCCAAGGACCCAGATCCCAGTTTCTTTCCCATCAGCCTCGTACCCATTTCCTTCTTACCAGGAATCAACCTCTTATGCCCCACAGTCACTCTCCCTGTTCCAAACAGAGCTGGCCTCTTGGCAAGATACCCCTCTGACCACCACCCTGGATCTCCAACCCTCCCTCACCCACCCCAAAATTCCCTACTGACCACTGCATCTTCATGGGGTGCTTGGTCTCCTACCACCAGCATCACAGGGCACCTAGAGGCATAGTGTCGGGAGAAGAGGGTAAGGCCCTGGTGCTCTGTCACCTGCCTTTTCCCAGAAGAGCAGTTAGACAATGTTTGACTCCAAAGAGGAGACGGTCTTCTGACCCTACCAAGACAATTCAAAGGGGGATGGACCTAGACAGTGAGATTTGCTTCATAGGACAGTGTGGGAGGTAACGAGAAAACTCCCTGTTAAAAGACTTTCCTTCTAAAGAATATAAGCACCTAGGGAAGATCCAGAGAGAGAGGCAAAGCTTTATCTCTTAACGTCTTACTTGAGGGTGACAGCACCTCCACGCTCAAGGTTCAGGTCTCGGCGGCTAGAGAGGGGTTCAAAGAGGAGCAGGAATGTTAGGCAGGCAATGCTGTCTATCCGGATGGAAGCCATCTCCTCCCTGAGGAAGCTCTCTTCCTCCCAGAAATTACAGTCAAATATTAATAATTAAAAGTGAGAAACAAGGGCATCTGGGTTGCTCAGTTGGTTAAGCATCTGACTCTTGACTTTGGCCCAGGTCACAGTTTATGAGTTCAAGCCCCACGTCAGGCTCTGCACTGACAGCGCAGAGCCTGCTTGGGATTCTCTCTTGCTCTCGCTCTCTTTCTCTCTCAAAATAAATAAAGTTAAAAAAAAAAAGTGGGAACCAAGGTGGCAGGCAGGCCTCAAACACAATCCCTATGGTCATTTTTGCCCCAGGTCTCTGGCCAGAGGTCAGTGAAGGGGGAGGAAGGGCACATGGACAAGAGACCATCTATCTCACTTCTGGGAATCCAAAAATCCAAGGGAAGTAAACAGAAGAAAGGGGGACGGCTCCATATAATTCATTCCACGGGGTCTGGGCCACAGCTGCCCCAGCTGCACACCAAATCCTGCCCTCCTCGCACTGTGTATGTCCCAGACTTTGCTCTCCTTCTCTGCACCTCCCCACGACCCCCAGCTGCTGCTTCTACATTTGCTTCACCTGTGTGCACACACACCACCCACTCACTTGTTGTAGCTATTCCAGTACAGTTCAATGTTGTCCAGATTGGGTGCATGTGTAATGATATTTCTGTACTTTTGTATCAACTCAGAATTTCCAGACAACTCCTCCTGAAGGAATGAAGAGAAAAAAAAAAATCAGGATTGAGAAGAGAAGTCAACAGTTACTGGATGAGAAGAGCCACGCTTTCCTCCCTCCCCAGACCCCGTCCCAGCTAAGGGAGTCACCCCAAGCATTCAAGACCCCAAGGTCCCCTCTACTTCCTCCAGCTTCCACAACCACTTACTTGGCTGAAGAGATGTCCAAGGATCATCTCCGGAATGGAAGAGGTGAGGCCTGTTAGCTATGAGGAAAAAGGGCAGGTGAGCAAGCTCAGGATACCATGAGGAGAAGAAACCCAGGCTACAAAGTGACACACACATCTCCCCTGCTCCACTCCCCTTTCTTGACATTCACAGGCCAAGCAGTTATGCTAGTAGAGCCTAACTGGACCCACGCAAGCCCCGCCCCACCAGACATCAACCCACAGGCTCCTCCAAACCTTGTGGGCTGCCCAATCCATCCAGCCCTTGGCATTGGGATCAATGTTGATGAGGACAAGACCTTCGACTGTATCCGGGTGAGTAAGCTGAGGAGTAGCAGGAGGATGGGAAATCAGAGGCTGGGCAGGGCCTTATTCCTTCCCACTGAGCTCCAGCCAGTCTTAGGGGCCCATGGGGCCTGCCCCCCACCCCCTCCCCACAAACACATACTATTAAACCACACTCTCCTAATCAGTCTGCCATGGGCCTTAAACCTTGTCTGGGTTGCTTTTGTGTTTTTGTTTTTGTTTTTATTTCTTACAGCATATCGTGACAGGATGTAGGCCCCAGCTCCAACACCAACTCCAATTATTGTGGAAAAACTGTGAAAGAGAAATGCATGTCTAATGGGCCCTGGTGTCCAAAACTTTGGCTTTTCAAACTCCTCACCCTCTCTCCCAAGGCCACATGCACAAAGGACAGAACACCATCTTCCCTTGAGGGGTGCTAAAAGGGAAGGCGCCAGGGAGCTAACAATTGACACTGGTAGTCAGTGTAGGTCCCTGAAGTCTATCTTCAGCTCTCTTGGGAAGCCAGGGTCTTGAAAAGAAACACCCATCCCCCAAACAACCAGCCACTTGTTTTCCTACATAGCTCTGTGTCCATTCTCAATTCTCAAGAGCTAGTTCAACTTGTTCTGTTTTAGTTCCTGGTTCCTCGTGAGAAACTGGGAAGAAGGGAACTTGAAGCAAGATGTTAAAAAAAAAAAAAAAAAAAAAAAAAAAAAAAAAAAAACTTCAGTGAACAACAGAGACAATGGGGGAAACAGAGCCAACAAGGCAAACCAGAGCTGCCCATGGCCCGGGTGCCCAGGAAAAGCCAAGCCGGGAGTCCTCTGCACTCAGCATACATACCACAGAGGCTCACCTGGCTTTCCCTTCCTTCTCCCTCTCTCCCTCACACTCAGGGTGTGAGGGCTCCAGATCACCAGGTGTGTGTGTGTGTGGAGGAGGGGAAGTAGGAGGGAAAGACAAGTCCATCTGGCTCCTTGAAATTATGTCACCCCTCCACTTCCTCCGACCTTCTGAATCAGAGAAGCCCCTCCTCAGCCTAAGGCAGGGCCACACATAACCCCTCCCTTTCCTGCCTCTATCCATTAGGGCTACTCAGCTGATTCAAGTCCATTTCCAAACCTACCCCTTCCTCTCAACAGTCAGGTGGAGGCATGGAGGAGGAAGGATATATCTAGGACAGAGCCCACAACCCGTCTAGGAACCCTGGTGGACACAGGAGATCTAAGGGCACCATTATGCCAGACAGAGAGAGAACTACGGTTTGGAGGGGTACCCAGGCTTCTCACTTTAAGTACTGCAGGATGCAAGGGATCATATCTGCCAGCTGGTCCAGAGATGGGTACTGATATCTGGGGAAAAGAAGAATGTTAAGGAAAATGCCAACCTGTCCCCGCTGCCCCGCACCTCAGGGTGTCCTATCCATCCTTTCCTGGAATCTCCACTGTTTCCTCCTCCCCTGAGTCCACTCTTCCCCACACCCCCTGTGCCTCACAGCCCAGTGAGGAAGGAGGGAGCTAATTCTCACCCCAAAGGGAACACAGGAGCCCCCTCTTCCATTCCAGGGGCATCCACATGAACTCGCACGAAGTTCTGAATGATTTCCTGCATATCTCCGAATTGAAACAGCGGCTGGAAGCAAGATTTATCTAAAGAGAATCCCCATCACCCCGATGGTAGAATCAGCCAGGGAAAAGCAACCCGAAGTCAGAACCCACCCTCTTTCTTTCATGCCATAGTCAGAGGACAGAACCTCCCCTTCACATGCCACATGGGTGCTGACCCTTCCCCATCCCTTAGGGTTTTACCCTTCCCACCAGCCTCTTCCCAGAAAGGGGTGGGAGGGGAAGGTGAGGTCCTTACAATTGAGTCCCACATCATGGTAGGTGAGTATCGCTGGGCGTTTGGGTTTGGGGGTGCCATAGACAGTAAAAGTGACAGAGCCATAAGGTGTCTCCACAGAGTGAGTCTGCAGAAAAACAGGTCACCATCAGGAGGAGTCAGGCTGAGAGGAAAAAGAGGCAAGAGAAGGACGCCCACAAAAGTCAAAGTCAAAAGTCGGGGAGTTGAGGTATGGGAGGGGCAAAGTGAGGAGACAGGAACAAAGATTTAGAAATAGGATCAGCAAGACTTTGGTTCAGGTAAATAAAACAGTGGAAGATGATTCAGAGGGTGGAAAAGAATCCTAAAAGTTGGGAGAGCACCAAGGAACTCTGAGGAGGAGGAAAAAGGAAGGAAAGGGAGAGATGGGAAAGGGAAAGCACTGGAATGAAAGGGAGCAGAGAGGGGAGAAAGAGCCAGGTAGCAGTCCTCTCCCTACTGGGAGACAGGAGAACCCCTCCTCCCACCCTGGGACTACTCCCAAGCTGTTACCTGTCCCTGGTCCAGGAGGATTCCGGCAGCTAACTCAGCCTCCTGGAGAGACACACACGGACAGACACACGCAGACACACACAGCCATGTAGAGTCATAGATGGAGAGACAGGCACAGATAAAGAAAGGCAAAGAGACCAACCGAGACGAAAGACAGAAAGAGATGACAAAAAGAGACATGGAGAGGATGAAGGTTAGTGCAGTGAGAGGACAAAGGCCTGACTCCCATTGTGGTGTATGGGGGAGAGACATGGGTACAGGTGGAGAAAACAGGGGTGTGGGTTAGAAAGAGATCATGGATTTGGGAAGGCAGGAGGCGAGGGGGATGCCCGCAGGCCTGGACTTCGGGCCTGGGAGTCGGAGGGTCTCTATTGACCTTGGCCACCTCGGGCGTCTGCCCTGGCAACAGCGGCTTCTCCTCTGTGATCTGCACCTCCTGCAGCTCCGCCATGGTGGCCTGGTAGGATGAAGAAACACCAAAACTGGGGAGGTTGCCTCCACCCCTGCACATCTCATACACCTGGCTCCCTCTCTCAGCCCAGGACAGTGTAGGGTGCAGAGGGCCCTAGGAGAGGGAGCACACATCAAGCCTTTCTCGCCCCCAGCTCCATGTCCAGGCTGCTGGAAAGGCAGGCTAGTGGCAGAGGACTCAGGATACCACTTCTCTTCAGACTCGCCATCCCTCTGGCTATCCCTCAACACCCACACCTCCAGACCCCCCTCTCCTGTCATGCATAGAAATACCAGGGTGGGGCAGGAGTGTTGCTCGGGTTTCCCATGCTATATTTAGGGGCCACCCCACACTCCCAGAGTAGGTAGGGATGAAACTCATGGCTCAGTGACTGGGTACGCCAATGATACTAAGGAACAGAGTAGTGAGAGTTCATAATTAACTGTGACCTTCAACTAAACATCAAGGTCAGCAGCTCAAAGGGAAAGGGGTTAAAAATGACCCAAGTACCAAGACCAAGAGGGTGAGAGAGAAAAAAAGAAAAGAAGAACAAGGGACACCTGTATCCAACTGACCCAATGCTTCCCTTCCTTCCAAGACTCTCCCTCCCTCCCCATTGTGAATAAATTAGCATACATTCAACATTAGTGGGGCTGGTGAGGAGCAGAACACCTGTGCAGCCTGGGGGTGGGGTCACTTACTGGGCTCCTATTGGCTGGATGCAGTGGGGTCAGGGGTCAGGGTTCTCTCCCCTCCTGGCTCAGGGGTCTGAGAAAACAAGGCAATGAGGTGAATGACACGGGAGACAGACCCTGGGTCTTTTAGGGACAGAAAGCCTCAGCCAAGATCTGGACTACCTGGGTCACCCACCCTCCCCAGGTCACTAACCCTCCCTAATCTGTACCCCTGAGTCCAATGAACATGTCTTCTCTAGGCTTCAGCTAGAATCAATACAGGCTGGAGGGGCCTGCGGGGCAACACGGAGAGCAGGTATCAGCCCAGGCTGGGGGAGGAGAGAAGGAAGTGCTGATGTGGAGGAAAGAGCGTGGCTTGTGTCGGAACCTCTGGATTCTAGTCCCGGCTCTGTAGCTGAGGGTGTGACCTTGGCCCACTCAGTTACTTCTCTTGGCTTCAATTTCCTATTTGCAAACTGCAAGTGGGGACTAGGGGATCCTCAAGATTTTTGACAGCTCTCAAGTGAGATGAGGGTAGCTGAGCATGACTGTTTCGCACTTAAACGTTTAAAAAGGAAATTTAAAAAGCCTCGTGCCTTCGAGTCTCTCCTCCACCCAGTCTCGGTGTGGGTGCCCCGAGCGGAGAAGGGAAGGGAGGGCGGCCCCACAGTCTCCTCCCAGCACCCCCCCCCGCCCCTCCCGCCCC